ATAGGACCTATGCAGGTTAAAAGTCTAGGAGGAAATATGTATACATATGTTGTTGTTGATGATTTCTCAAGGTTTACATGGGTGAATTTTATCAGAGAGAAATCTAAAGTGTTTGAAGTCTTTAAAGAGTTGTGTCAAAGGATTCAAAGAGATAAGGACTATAGTATAGTCAAAATTCGAAGTGACCATAGGAAAGAGTTAGAAAATAGTAAGCTTGAGTAATTATGCGCCTCTGAAGGGATTAGTCATGAGTTATCTTATCCTATCACTCCCCATCATAATGGTGTGGTGGAATGAAAGAATAAGACTATTCAAGAATGTGTCAGGGTCATGCTTCATGCTAAGAAACTTCCATATCATTTATGGGTTGAAGCCATGAACACTGCCTGCTATATTCATAATAGAGTGACTATTTGATCTGGTACATATGTTACTCTTTATGAATTGCGGAAAGGAAGAAATCCTACAGTGAAATGTTTCCATGTCTTTGGAAGTAAGTGCTACATTTTGGTAGATCGTGAGCAGGGGAGCAAGATGGATCCTAAAAGTGACGAGGGAGTTTATTTGGGATACCCTACAAACATTAAAGCCTATAAAGTATTCAATTCCAAAACTAAGGTGATGATGGAATCTATAAATGTGGTAATTGATGACTCAACCAAAGAAGGTGATGTCGCATATGATGTTGGAGCAGTTTTCCCTTGAAGGATGATGTTCCTGAAGATGTTGTAGATTCAAGTGTCAACGCTAAACCTGAAGAAACTGATGCAGTTGACAAAGGTCCTTCCATTATGATTCAGAAAAACCACCCTAAGAGGCTTATTATAGAAAGTCTGAATGAAGGAGTCAAAACCAGATCAAGGGAAGTTGTGCCAAATTCTTGTTTTGTTTAAAAAATTGAACCAAAGAATGTCAAAGAGGCCTTTACTAATGAATTTTTGATTCATGTTATGCAAGATGAACTTGGTCAATTCAAGAGAAATGAAGTTTTGGACTTAGTACCAAGACCTGAACGGGTTAGTGTTATTAGTACTAAATGGGTGTACAAGAACAAGTCACATGAACAAGGAGTTGTCACCAGAAATAAAGCCAGACTTATTTCTCAAGGGTACACTCAAATTGAAGGAGTGGACTTTTATGAAACATTTTCTCATGTAGCTCCTTTGGAATTTATCAGATTACTTCTTGGAGTGGAATGTCTCTTAAAGTTCAAAAATTTTCAAATGGATGTCAAGAGTGTTTCTAAAATGGTTATCTAAACAAAGAAGTATATGTTGAACAGCCAAAAGGATTTGTTAATCCTTCTTTCCCAGATCATGTGTTCAAACTGAAGAAGGCATTGTATGGTTTAAAGCAGGCTCCAAGAGCTTGGTATAAGAGGTTGACTGAGTTTCTCATTAACCATGGATATAGAAAGGGAGGAATTGACAAAACTCTCTTTGTCAAAGAGAAAGATGGAAAACTCATGGTAGCTCAGATCTATGTGGATGATATTATTTTTGGAGGGATGCCGGATGAAATGGTCCAACATTTTGTCAAACAAATGCAATCTGAGTTTGAGATGAGTTTGGTGGGTGAATTAACAATCCTTTTGGGATTGCAAGTCAAGCAGGTGGAAGACTCCATTTTTCTTTATCCAAGCAAATATGCAAAGAATATTGTGAAGAAACTTGGATTGTAGAATGCCAACCCATTAGATGACTCCTACTCCTACACACTTGAAGCTATCCAAAGATGAAAGGGGTTAATGTTGATCAAAGTTTATATAGAAGCATGATTGGAAGCCTTCTATATCTTATGGCAAGAAGGCTAGCTATAAATTTTATTGTTGGAGTCTGTGCTAGATGTCAAGAAGCACCCAAAGTGAGTCACATCAATCAAGTCAAGAGAATTATGAAGTATGTGAATGGTACATGTGAGTATGGAATGTTGTATTCTCATAGCTTAAATTCAGTGCTTGTGGGATACTATGATGTTGACTGGGCTGGTAATGCTGATGATAGGAAGAGTACCTCTGGTGGATGTTTCTTCTTGGGAAATAATTTGATTTCATGGTTCAGCAAGAAACAAAATTTTGTATCTCTATCTACAGCTGAAGTTAAGTACATTGATGCAGGAAGTAGTTGTTCTTAACTTGTTTGGATGAAACAAATTTTATCTGAATATAATGTCACACAAAATGTCATGACATTATTCTGTGATAACTCGAGTGCTATTAGTATTTCCAAAAATCCTATTCAGCATAGTAGGACTAAGCACATTGATATCAGGTACCATTTCATTAGAGAGCTAGTCGAAGACAAAGTTATAACTCTTGAGCATGTTAGCACTGAAAATCAGCTTGCTGATATTTTTACTAAAACTCTAGATGCAGTTCATTTTGAAAACTTGAGAAGAAGACTTAGGATCTATATCTACGAGGACTTATTGAAATTACGGCTATTGTTGTTGGTCAATAAAATTCTTCAATCATACCACCTACATTCTGGTATTTTGTTGGCTATGGATAGTGTTAAGAAAAGGGAATCTCCTTTATCCTAGCATTATAGATTGTTTGGTGGAACACATCTTCCAGACATTGCTGTGACATCTTCCCAAGTGAAGACCCTGTTGGCAAAAGTAATGATGTTGTTGTTGATGAAATTATTGCATATGCTGGTGCTTATGCTGATAGAGAAGGAGAAGAGAATGAGGTTGTTGTTAATGCTGAGGCTGATGCCTGATTATTGCCTCTGTAAACCCTTTTGGTTTTACTTTATGTACTTGTTTTTATTGCTTTATGATTTTGTAAGGGTTAAATGCCCAGTGTAATCCGGTAGGAGAACTAACTTTTGGGTTTTGCATTTTATCGCAAATGTTGCGGATAGTATGAGTCGCCACCAACTTTTCTTTTATCCAATGAAGGAAAGGGAGAAAAGAAAAGGAAATACCTTTTGAGAATTTTTCTTGAGTTCTGGGGGTAGGTTATGAAAAGGGAAGGTGTTAGCACCCTTTTCATCCGTAGTTATCTACGGGCTCTTAATTGCTAGCTCACTTTGAAATAATGCTTTGTGTTTGTGTATGCTTTTGCAAATATTTTGAAAATGCCTAAGTGTGGAAATTTTGTAATGATTCTCGTATCGTTGAGAATGTATACAAAATGTTTTGTTTTGAAAATATTTGTTGAAAGGGAGTGTTTGGAAAGATGTTTTGAAAATTCCAATGTAAGGCAATTTTGTAATGATTCTCGTATCGTTGAGAATGTATACAAAATGTTTGTTTTTGAAAAGTGTTTTGAAAATAGTTGTTTTTGAAAGTGTGAGGTATGAAAATCGTTTTAGTTTGTGAGCAAGAGATTATGAGTGATCTACCTACTCAATGGTCCTTCATTCTTTTCCTCCTCCTTTAGATAGCGCTATCCTACCATTAGTTAGTAGGAAGCCCTATCGTTGGATGTGAGGGACAGGTGCGGGTCATCGTACATTCATAGAAGGGAACTTGTGGGACGCTTTAGAAATTTTCATAAGGGACTAAGATTGTTTTACCAAAGGCAACATCGTAGGGTCATTGTGGGACTACGATCTTTTTTAATCGAGGGTCTTTGCTAAAGTGTCCCATATTCGAGGGACATGACTTTATTTTCCGAAGGTAACTAGTGGGGTCACCCTAAAGGTGCGTGTGTGAAAAGTGATTTGTTTTCAATTAATTTGTCTTGATTAGGGTTATCTAGCGGTTGATTTTGAATCTTGCCATACACGACTAATTACTATACAGTTATATACATACAGGCATAATTATAGGTGCGGAAAGTAAAGTGCGGAAAAAAAATCTACTCTATTACAATGCTTCGGGCAGAGGGTACAAATTTTATGAATGGGAAAAAGTAAAGGCCTAGTTAAACTATTTACAAACCATAAGAAATTACAATAATTGAAAGAATGCGAAAATAGTAAACTAGGAGAAAATTAAAAGAGAAAGTAAATTGTTTTTTGGTGTGCTTTGATAGAAAAGAAAGTAAAAAATATAGAATTGAGATGTAACTAAAACAAAAGCTATCTAGACTAAATTAAAATTCTAAGATTAAAATTCTAAAAATTTACTAAATTAAATCTAAACTAAATTAATTTTAAGGTTATTAAATAACATCTAAACTATTTTAAATAATTTCAAGTTATTAAAATAAATCTAAACTTAACTAAAATTCTAAAATTTCATAAAAATTAATTTTAAACGAACTTAAAATTCTAAAGTTATTAACTAAACTAAATTAATAGAAGTAAATAGAGGTAAAATAAGTGTGGGGAGTGCTAACAAGATTATTTGGGTGCAAGCAAAACACGAGGGAGAATAAGTAATCTCAGATTGGGCTGGCATTGGGGCCCAATGTTTAAATAAATCAGAAAAAAGTAAATAATAATAAAAGAAAACTAGAGATATACTTAGTGGACTTCGCTGGGTTGAGTTGAGACAAACAAAAAAAAGGCCCAAAATATTATTATATCATTCAACCAATCAAAATAAGAAAAAAAAAGTGTGCAGATAGAGTTCAAGGATTGGGCTTAAGCTGAAGGGGAAATGAGAATGGGCTTAGTGGTCAAGGCCCAACCTGAAAATGCACATGAGAAACCCTAGGATGACCAAGAAGATGGAATGACTGCATGCTTACATTGGAAAGATCCACTCAACTAATTTCATTCAATTAATCCTAATTATTTCCTAATAAAATATAATTAACATCAAAACTAAAATAGATCAGAAATTTCTCTCTCTATGTTACCATCATCTCATTCGGTACCCTCTCTCACTTACCGTACTCACCATTGTTCTCTCATAATTCACACTTCTGAACCCTCTTTCTATTCCTCTCTCTTATTTTTCTGCTCCAACATCTCTCAACTGATTCCCTCTCTTCCTTCGCCGCTTCCCTCTCTCACAAACGGTTACCCACGACCTCTTCCTCCTCAAACTCTCTCGTCGAAAATCAACAATAATAATAACCAATTGGTTCTCGATCTCTCGCCATGCTCTCACGTCTCTATTATCCTCTCCCTAGATTCAGATGTGCATTCCAAATCAGCAAGCAAAACTATGACGAGGAGGTTTTGCTGGAAGTTGTTGAGGTAAGGTGATCTTTCTTCGGTCTAAGTTTTAATTTTTCTTTGTTACGATATCGTCAATTTAGATGGCTCTAAGCTTGTTCTGATTTTGATGCTATTTGTTGGTTTATGGTTTGACTGTAGTACTACTTGGAGGTTGAGCCGAATAAAATTTGGAGCTTCAATCGTACTTTTGGTGAAGGTTTTAGAACCTGTAAGGCTGCTGCACATGGTTCTTTGTTCCAGAGTTTTCGGTCCCCTTCGAGGATGAAGGTTACAGACGGAGGTGAGAGGTTCTCGGGTAAGTGTCGAGCTTATGGCTCAATCTATTCAGCGTCTATCCTAACTTTATGACAAAAACTCCATCTTCTTAGGAAAAGAACATATTCACCAATTTTTGGGGTTTTAATAATTTTATCTAAGCATCTGTGGTTATCAATTATTTTTGTAGGACCAAACTGTTTTAATGATGGCACAGTCTAGATAGAAGTATTTTAACAAGCAAACATCAGAGCACAAGGGTCTCAAATAGATAAATGCATAAGGAATAAGATGAACTAGTAAATGGCATATGCAAAGTGACTTACCTCGAAGATGACACATGTGAAAAAATAGCAAACCAGAGGTGATAAGTTATTCTTTAATCATTGCTCCTTTGAATCTAACTTCTGGTGTGTAAGTAATAATTGAGGGAAATTTGAATGATAGGGTTTGGTGAGAAGTGGAGTATTTGAAAGATCAGAAGGATCTTTCTCTGTCTTTTTTATGTATTTTCTATGGTTTGTGTCAAAATTGATTGAATGATTTGCTGTGTATGAGAAGAGGTTGGAGGCTTACAGAGGTTGCTGATTGTTTTTTCTCTTGACAGAAGTTTTAGTTGTTTTTTAGTCCCTTTTGAAGGTTCAGTGAAGGTTGAATATATAGATCAGTAAGGGGAGTTTTGGGGGGGAAAAGTTGGTAAAGTTTGAACAATTTAGTACATTGTTTTTTGTAACTTTAACGATGTAGTTTTATTTTTGTTATTCTTGTGCAATTGTTGGACTACTACAATGCATATTTTTGGACTATTTTTGCAGTGGACAACAAGACTTTGATACAGGTTTGAGAGAAGGTTTTAGAGTGACATAGGGGACTATTTTTGTAGCAGGATCTGGACAGTATTGGGCTGTTTGTGGACAACAAGAGGAGGTTTTATGCAGGCTATTTTTGGAAGTTTGGACAGTAAATTTGGAATTTGAAATTTGGCATGGCGTGGAGGAATTTGGAGAGCTCAAGAAACTTGAAGAAAAAATAATCAAAATCTTGTAATGTTCATAGAATTCAAGTGTAGAAAACTTGAAGTTCTTGTATCTCTTGTATTCTTTGAATTTGAACCATTATGAAACCAACGTCTTTCTTGGAAAACTAAGGCTTGCTAATGTACTTTGAAATTTTAGGCCTTAGGGAATTTGAAATATCTTTGTGACATAGAACTTGAGTTATATTGTAACAAATGTAGAAACTATTTGAATTGCTTGAATTAATTTCCCTTGAATGAATATGCATGGCTAAAACCATGTCTTGTAGCTTATTTTACTTTCAAAATTAAGATATATGGTAGAAAATATTGGATTTTATTCAAGTAATGAAACAAAAGAATTTTCCCTCCATCTCAAATTTGAAACTTGGAACCATGTCTTGAAAAATGATGAGAGTTTTGCCTTTGTTGACTTGAACTCAAAATAATTCTCATGAATAGACTTGAATGAATTTGAATTAAATTTGAACTTCTCGTTACTTAAATCTCAAGAAATCCAAGTGTATTTTCCTTTTCACCCTTGCAAGCTTGATGAACAGGTTTAAATTCAATCATAAGAACAAATGTCTTGAATAAACCATCATAGAATGGATTGAAATTAGAGGTTAAAATCACTCTAAGTCACAAAATCACCCATAATATTTTCAACAAATTCCATGGCCTCCTAAGCACAATTTGACTTTGATTCATAAAGAAAACTTGTAGATGACATTCCTTATGACAATATGCAAAAAGAATCATCTCAAGATGTTTAAAATTGAGGAATTTACGGTCCTTTAAAGTCATACAATAGATACTTGAGATTAGGTCAAAGTCTAGAAAGTGACCTCTAAAGTATTCAAACTTTTGGTGATCTTACACACATAATTAGCCCTTGACTTTAAAAGTTATGTTGGAGATGACGTCAAGGAGAGTCATACGCAAAAAGATCCACTCAAAAATATTGAATAATGAAAAAGTTATGATCGTTTGAACTTGAAATTGTAAACGTTGAATTTTTGCCCAATACAATTGATTTTCAGTCATCTTAAACATTGACTGAGAAAACTTGTGATGCAAGGCTTGAAACTTGACATGAGCATTCTTGAGGACATATGGAGAATCATGAAAACCAATTGAGACCTTGGAAACTCAATCTTCCTTGAGAAATAAAAAACCCTAGTTGTAGACCCATTGCTTAAGAGGAGAGTTTGTCTGATCAATTCTTGAGCATTTAAGAATCCTAGGATAATATCTTGAATGAAAAATGGGAGGGGAAATTTTGGGGTAAAACATCTTCCCCTGTTCAATCTTCTTAAACCTGAAGAGTTAGATTGGCATGTCCGACATCTGCGACTTAAAGGTAGAAAATGATTGAACACTTAAGTGCCCAGAACTTTGCACTTGCCTGCGCGTGAAGTAACACTGTTGGTACTGGGAATAGGCTTAAAGATCCCTGAAATTCTGGCTGCAGATACTCAATGTCACGTTCAATGTTATGACACCGTATCTGACTTACTATATGACAGTAAATACAAAAGCAATAAAGAACACAGTCAATTGTTTACCCAGTTCAGTGTGCAACAACACCTACTCTGGGGGCTACCAAGCCAGGGAGAGAATCCACTATAAGAGATGTTAATTCAGGAATAAACCAACCAGTTTATCTCCTTCACTTAAGACCTACCCAATGCAATTCCAATCTAAGTACAACTTAAACCTGAGTACCAACTCACTCCCCCTCAATCACAGCAGTGATACATAAACTAATTTGACATAATAATTGATGAAGACACTCTTCAAAAACAAACACTTGATTAAGCTTCACAGCTTTTTAATCAAGCAACACAATCACTCTTGCTTCACAGCTTTGAGTGATGCACACAACTAACTTGACTCTGCTTCACAACTTTAGTCAAGGAACATTCAAACACTCTTGCTTCAAAGATTTGAGTGCTACACAACCCCTTACAATTTGAAACCTATTCCAAGGCACTTATCACAATGATAATTGCTTGGAGTACAATAATCAAATCTATACAGATTACAAAATGATCTTCTAATCAATCAGCAGCGATCCTTGAAAAACAGCAGCTCTGTTGAATATATAGCAGCCGCAACTTCAGTTAGGGTTTCCAAAAACCTAGGGTTAATTCCGTTTGACCTAAAGACCAGGTCACAGGACTTTATTAACCAGGTTAGGGTTGAGCTAGGTTACCCCTCAGAAAACGCAGGATTCTGTTCAGGAAGGACTGAGTTATTTCCTGAAAAAACTCAGACTTATCCAATCCTGCAATCCTGTTAGTTCAGAACAGGATGTCATAACATCTGTTATGACATCTGAGAAAACTTGTCTACTGATTTAGCAAAATGTGATCATTTTGCAAAATGCTCAGATACACACTTATAAACATCAGTATTTGAATTACAATATTTTTCTGCAAAGGTACCTAATGAGTCAGTACAAACTGAACTAGAATGTTATGACATCAGTCATGACATTCACACATACACTTGGGATTTACCAAAAATGCAAGCCAATACCTAAACACCTACAAACTCCCCCTTTGGCAGATTTTTGGCTAACGACCCTAAACAATCAGAGATAGATAGCAGCAGAAATAAGTGACAGCAGAAAAATAGAATGTCAAGTACTAATTAAGCAAGTACCAAAATATTCTCCCCCTCTTTAGCCACAAATGGGCCAAAGATACATGTTCAGAAAATTTTACAGTTATCCATAACAAAATAATAAGATCAGCAGCAGACAACAACAGAACACACTTCCAAACCCCACCATCAACACCACCAAGCAGCAATCAACCTTCAAGTACTGTCATCAGACTCAGAGGAGCTAGTTTCTTCATTGTTGAGTTGTCCTTCAGCTTCTACACCTTCTTCCCTTTTGTTTTCTTCAGCTTCCTCCTTTTCTAGCCTGGCAATTAGAATTTCTAGGGTCCTTTTTCTAGCATCCAGCTCTTTGCAAGTTTCTTTTAAGACACCTATGACATCTGATGTCTTGGACTGGGTTTTTACAGACGATGTCTCAGCTGATGTTATGACAATGTCTGGAGCATGAGATCCCTGAAACAATTTGTAGTGCAGGCCAAGGGCAGGAGCTCTTTTGCAGACTGTATCTCTTGCCACAAGGATATCAGGGAATTGTGCAAGGATGATTCCACAAAGGAGGGAGGGAAAGGCAATTGGTCCTTTGACAGCATAACTGCCAGCATGCTTTAAGGTTTGTTCAAATATGTACCTCCCATAGTCAAAAGCAGTCTTGGTTCCCACAGCATAGATAAATCTCCCCAATCCTGTGGAGATAGTTGATTTATGATTTGTAGGCACCCAGTTGGCTGCTCCTATTTTATGCAAGATGGCAAATTTCATGCTGAGTTTACTAGCATTCAGCTTCCCTTTCAAGGGCCAGCACTTTACTTGCCTGGCTGTGATGGTTAGACAAACTTCATTGTCAGTTGCCTCTAGATCAGGACAGTCCTTATTTGTTCTTCCAAGAAACTTGTTGATATCTGATGGAGAGAACTTGACCCTTCTTCCTCTAACAAAGACACTTTCAAAGTCAGTTGACCTTCCATCAGCACAATCATTTGACAAGTTCACTACAAACTCCTTAACCAGATTTTCATAACACTTGTTAAACTTTATCACTGTCTTCATTAGCCCAACATTCTTGATCAGATCCATGATGTCTTTGCACTCCAAGGCATCATTGTTGAGTTCTCTCTCCAAGGCTATTCTCTTTAAGCAAACATACTTCCATCTGTTTGCATTGTCAGGATGATGAAAAGAGATGTTGTCTGTTGGCACTTCAGGCACTCTAGCAATCTTGCTGGAGGGGAGCTTCCTTCTGATGGGAGTTTCTTCAATATCAATCTCAAATTATGATTCATCATCAGAATCAGAAGTTTCAGGTTCTTTACTTTTCTTAGAGATTGGTTGTCTAGCAGTCTGCACCTGGGCCTTCTTCCCTTTTGTCTGAATACTTTTCTCAGCCATCCCTTCAGCCTTGGATTTCTTAGCATCAGGTTTATCATTCTGACTACTCTTTCTTTTCATCAATCTCCTAGCTATGCTAGGGTTCACATTAGCAATCAGTTCATTATCTGAGTAATCTTCATCCACATCAATGATAGGTGGATCAGCAGCCTTTTCAGAGGTGTCCCGAATGTTGTCTTTTGGTGTCACA